ATGTTGATGTTGATGATGATGATGATGATGATGATGATGATGATGATGATGATGATGATGATGATGATGATGATGATGATGATGATGATGATGATGATCTTTTTAACGGGTGAATAAGTGTCACCCATACCTTGCACAGCAGTTTGTATCAATTTGTCTTAACTTAATCATATTTTTTTCATAACAATTTAGGCTAGATTAAAAAAAATTTCTTCATAAATATAAATAAATTACTATAAATCTCCATCACGTTGAAAATGGGATTGTTTACAGCACCTCCCGCTTCCCACAATTTAGCACATGCATATGGGTTACGTCACAGCTCACCAATGACATTTTTTTGTGGCAAAACTTGTTACAAGAAATTGATTTCAAAATGAACACTTTTTGTACCAATTTAGGGTCTCAAAACACGCGTTCAATAAGCATAATGTAGGCATTAATAAAAAATGACAGACTTCTTTTAAAAGTGACATTGCCCGAGCTGTAAACCTGTTAAAATCTGAAGAAACTAACCACTGGGATTTTTAAAAAATTGGTATTTATTACGGGATTTTCTAGAATACAGGTAACAGATGTTTACAAAAATATTGATCTGTTAAGACAAATTAATACAAGTCATTGTTACAAAGCTGGGGGCTTTATGTTCGATAGTTGAGGAAATAGTATGTACTTGACGATAAGTTGCGCCACGAATTTTGGACCGCAGTATAGGCCTAGTTTGAGTGACCCTATTGTGTTGTAACGGCACTTGAAACATAATAAGGTCATAGGCCCTTTAGTGCAGAAAAATAGAAGTGTTACAAGAGAGTAACAAACACAAAAAATAAAGAGGCGAGATATGGACAATAGATGTTTGATAGGAAATATGGAGCAGACCACACCAGAGCACCCGCCAACCACCCACGGTTTGGAGTTGTAGTAAATGGATCCAATAGAACCCACAACGACAATCTAGTGGGAGGGGGGGGGAATCAAGGAAGATAGAGTGAGTTAGAATTTGAGTTTTAGACAGAAAGAAGCGCACCAACAGAATAACGGTTATTTTGTACCGTCTGCTCAATCTCTACTGGTGTCGAGGCAAAATGGCGGACTGGTTAACGTTTCCACACATTTATAGGAACAAAACGCCATCCTGTCTGTCGCTGCTGTCAAGTATCCTTCATTGATTTTGTAGATGGCCTTTTTAAGTACGTTCGTGTTGCTTTTTTGCCAAATAAAAAAAGAAAAAAAAGTATTTCATGAGTAAAGAGAAGTATATTGAAGGAACAATAAGGGTCATTTAGTGCTGGGAAGAAGTCAAACAGACAAACAAAAACAACAGCGAGGAAAGTAGAGAACTAACTGTGGCGCCCTCCAACCACCCACCAAAAACTCCTTCTCTTTCATGGACCACATTTTACATTCATGTCTCTCGCATGACCTCCCACAATATTCTGTAGACTCCCCACAGTCTGTTCTTTTCCCGGCATGTTGGAGTCAAGGACAGCCGAGGTGAACGATCGCCGGCTGATCTCGTGGTCTACAGGATATGGCGTTCTCCTCTCATTCAATAGGTCCTGGGTTCAAAACCTGACAGCGAAAGAAAATTTTCCTTTCTAAAATGTTCTCCTGTCACCTCCTTTCCTGCTCTCTTTTCTGCCCCTCCCCACGCCCCCCTTTTTTGTGCTCCCTCCTTTGGGCTCTCGACTCTTTCAGCTACTCCTTGGCTCCCTCTTCCTGTATCGGGAGCCCATTGCGGGTCGGGTCGAGTCGGGTCGGGTCTGTGGCGACTGCTCCACTCGTCGCCTGTTCTTGAGACTTGTGCCACGATAGCCGCTTTGCGCCATCCATCTGTCTAGCAAACCGCCCCGACCACACCCGATCCCCCACTGGGCACCCCGTATTACCTTTCAGCCACACCCCTAATCTTATGATAGGAAAGATCTACACGTAGCCTTCTCGGATAAGAGCAAAAAACTCGGGAGGTCCAAATTGCAAATTGCGCAAAATCGATAAGAATAGGCTTCAGCCTCCATCGGGGCAAAATTCTAAATTAATTCCTACCAAACAGGATATTATGTTAAATGTGTCCCACGCGCTCATATTGTGACCTATTATGCAGTTGCGAGTACCATAAACATTTACCCCAAAACGGACATTCGCATTGATAGAGAGATTGAGGGATAAATTAAATCTGATAAAACAGAGACTGGAAAGGGGGTGTGAGTGGGGTGGGGAGTATTTTATTTTTTATTTATTTATTTAATATTATTTTTTTGGAGGGGGGGGGGTGCATTCCCATGAGCCAGCAAAGGCTACCTATCTCTCTGCTAGTTGTCAAGGTAACCATGGCGACTATACGCCGTGCCATTGACACACAAAAGGTATTTGTGACTGTGAGACACAGAATTGACACACAGAAGGTATTTGTGACTGTGAGACACAGAATTGACACACAGAAGGTATTTGTGACTGTGAGACACAGAATTGACACACAGAAGGTATT